GTTTAGTAAAAAACTGAGTGACTAATAACTAGGCAGAAGAGGGATAGGCACAGCTGGTGGGCAGAGAGAATAACTAGGAGGAGAAACCTAGGCTCAAAAGACGAGAACAAGGAGAAGAACCCAATAAAGAAAGAGAGGGACATACCCAGACCAAGAAGCCAAGCAGATGCCAGCCAGTCACCAGACAGACAGGAGAAGCAGCGAAAGTAAGATATACAGAAGGAAAGAAAGATAAAAAGGCCCAAGGCAAAATGGGGAAGAAGAGAAGCAGATTAAGTTATAAGAGCTAGTGGGACAAGCATAAAATAAGAGCGAACATTCAAAACTAATAAGAAGTCTCTGTGTCATAATTTGAGAGTTTGGTTAGTGGTCCAAGAGATAGCCTGGTATACAATATTTCTAATGTGTGTGAAACCCTGGGTTTGAGTTCTAGCACAAAATAAACCAGACAGGGTAGTGCATATCTGTAATCCCACCACTCAGGAGGTAGAAACAGGAAGACCAGAAGTCCAAAGTCATCCTCAGCTACATAATGGGCTATGTGAGACCTTCTCTCAAAAAGCATGGAGAGAGAGAGAGAGAGAGAGAGAGAGAGAGGCTGATAGGAAGAAAGAAAAAAACAAATATTTGTGTGGTTTATGGCATACTTGGGGAAACATTGGGGTCCAGTGACAGAGTTGGGGAGCTGTTAATTGATTGTTCTCTTTCCCTTCCATATATATATATATATATATATATATATGTATATATATATAATACTGTGGCCAGCAGGAGGGTGCCTGTGCCTGTGCCTGCTGGAAAATTCTGATGAAGCATGCCAGGTAAAGAGAAAGCTCCTAGAAGAAATGCCTAGAGCATAGGAATAGGCACAAGTCCCCTTATTACTAGATATGATGGTTAGCCTTAACTGTCAGCCTGACTGAAGAGAGAAATGCCTGGGAGATTATTAAAGCAGACCTCTGAGTAGATCTGTGAGGACATTTCCAGAAACAATTAAATCATGAAGATTCTAACTTAGCAAGCAGATTAACCCCCTTGACAGACTTCTAATACTGTGATATATAAGGATTTTTTTGTTTTGTTTTGTTTTTCAAGACAGGGTTTCTCTGTAGCTTTGGAGTCTGTCCTAGAACTTGCTCTGTAGACCAGGCCGGCCTCGGATTCACTGAGATCCACCTGCCTCTGCTTCCTGAGTACTGGGATTAAGGGTATATGGCACCACTACCCAGCCATTATAAGGGTGTTAACTGTAATGGTCTTGGCAGGAGCAAAGATATTCTAAAGAGACATGCCCTTCCCTTTGCCTATCAGGTTGTTCAAACAATGGACCCCAAAGAACTGGAATTTCTATAGGAATCTCATGCTGTGGCCAGAGAAAATCTGAAAGTCCTGGTGCTAGCCAGAGGGAGGAACTTGTCTTCCAGGAAGCAATTTTACTGTTTTTTGACTACTTAGGAGCTCTCTTTGCAGGACAGGCTGGAGTTGAAACAGGGATGTGTCAATGATGAGAGTAGAACCACACCTTGACCAGGGCCTTGGATAGGCATACCTCTTGCCCTCTGTTTAAGCCTAATCTTAAAGCCCAAACCATGAAGATGGACTCGAGGTCACTGGGCCTCCATATTTATTCCTTTTCCCAATGTGGCCTTAAACTTCTGCAAGAGGAAGATGGTACAACTTAGGAGTAGTCCTTGTTGGAGGAAGTAAGGCCCTGGGGGCATGGCCTGGAGAACTGCCTCTTATCTGGGCCCCTCTCTACATGCCTTTTCTTAACTGCATGGCTGCAATGATGTGAACTGCTCTACTCCATCAGGGCCTTCACTCTATGACAGGCTCTAAAACTGTGATGTCAAATGTGATTCTTCCCCCACCATGTTTCTGTCAGGAATTTAGTCACAGGGACACAATGGTGAGTAAGAATCGAGAGATACTTCTGAGTATATTTTGGACTAGCTGAGAAAGACTGGGGTCCTAGATGACTGGGTGGAGACTACACATCCCAGTGACTGGATTTTCATATTAGGGTGGTCTTGCAGTTTGGTAAAGACAGAGCTTGGAGAAGGCTTGAGGGAGGTAGCATATACCAAGGGGATAAGGCAATATAGGGCACAGAATCACATCAATAAAAGACATTGGTTTTACTTTTGTGGTCTCAGACTAGTCAAGGGATCAACAACAACAGAGGGTATATATCCCTCAAATTGCCAAATCTTTCCTGAGGTCTGTCTCAGACTTTGGGGAATAAAAAATAAATTAAAGGGTAGAAATGATGTGGGAAGTCCTTCTGTATATGTGTTGCTTTTATTGGTGAATGAATAAAGAATCTGCTTGGCCTGTGATAGGGTAGAGTACAGCTAGGTGGGGAAAACTAAACTGAATTCTGGGAGAAAGAAGGTGGAGTCAGTGAGACACCATGTGTTTACCAGAGGGGAAAGATGCAAGCTGCCAGTTGGAATGTTGGCAGTAGGCCACAAGCCTCGTGGTAAAATATAAAACAATAGAAATGGCTTAATTTAATATGTAAGAGCTTCCTAGGAATATTCTATAGTGATTATCCAAGCAGTGATTTAATTAATACAGTTTCTGTGTGGTTATTTTGGGAGTCTGGGCAGCCTGGAAACAAACAAGCAGCCTCCTACAACATAGAGAGATGGTTCAGCTGTTAAGAGCTCTGGTTGCTCTTTCAGTGAGGTCCTGTGTTCAACTCCCAGCACCCATATGGTAGCTCACAGCCACCTATAATGGGATCTGATGCCCTCTTTTGTCATGCAGATGTATAGGAAATCAGAGCACTCATATATATATGTAAATCTTTTTAAGAAATGAATCAGAAGCAATCACTTTGATTATACACTGAGTGAGACTTTCTGATCAAAGGTGTGTACACCGATGTACACATGTTTGAATATCAGTGTCTGTGACCGTGTCAATGTACATCTGTGTATATCTTTGCTGCATGTGTGTAATGTGTGTGAGTAATGTGAATGTTAAGGGCATGAATGTCAGTCCATGGGAGATGGGCATGATGCCAATATTACCTCGTTTTACTCCATAGTTTCTACCAATTCCAGTGGTTTCTCCTTTAAGGTTTTCCAGTGGTTTTATACTGGGATGAAGTTACAGAGGCAAGTTACCTGACAGGCCTTCCTTTTATGACCAGCTAAATAGTGACTAGCTAAATGTCTAGGTGACTGGGTTAAATTGATTTGTGGTCTATGGAGGCCCTGGGCCAGAGCATAAGAGCACATTTATAAGCATCAGCAGGGAAGCAGAAACAGAAAACAGGGAAAGCAGTGATAGGTAAGGACAGAAACAGAATGAGGCAGCATAAAAACTGGAGGTAAAGGCCAAGAGCAATGAAGCCCTTATCTGTGATGTACAGGATCCAGAGAATGATTTTCCAACTGCTTATCTCAGGACACCCAGATCCACCAGCCGGCACTTCCTGGATGGAATATGTCCAATGCCAGCCCAAGCTGAAGCAACGCCAAATCACAAAATAAACCATTTGCATGAAGGAGGAAGCTGAACTTGGCTACACAGAACCCCCGCAGTAGTTAGGGCCTGAACAGACACATGCTCCATGTGCAGGAAATCCATTAGCCTATTTGGCCATACAGGAAACAATCACACTCAAAGGAACAATGCTGTGTGTTTACACAGGGACAAGCAGAGCATGAGGTCCTTTGACTGCCTTATCATGTTTTCCTTTCTAACTTTTTTAAACATGTATTTGTTTATGTGGGGTCACATGTGTGTCATAGAGGGCCCGTTGGAGGTCAGAGAACAGCTTCCAGGAGTAAGTTCTCTCTTTCCGTTGTATGGTTTCAAACTCAGGTCATCGAACTTGGTGGTAGGTACCTTTACCCACTAAGTCATCTTGGCAGCCTTATTATCACTTCTGAACCTCATGTAGGTTCCTTGGGGACAATGCCCTATCTGCACATAGATAAAATAGTGCGTAAAGGTTAAGTGGTTTCCTGTGTTTATGTAACTGGTTGGGGACAAGCTGAAACTGGAATTTAGATGTGTGTCCAAAACAAGAAAGATCTGTTTCTTTTCTTTCCTTCCCCACACTGATCTTTTCATTGCTCCCTTTGTAAAAACACATGGACTCCTCTAGAAAAATATGTTTCTCTTTCTTTTTATTTCTTGGTTTTTCAAGACAGGGTTTCTCTCCCTGGTGGTAAAAAAAAGAAAAGAAAAAAGCAAAAATGGGGGGACTGGAGAGATAGTTCAGTGATTGGGAGCACTGGCTGCTCTTCCAGAGGACCCAGGTTCAATTCCCAGCAACTACTTGGCAGCTCACAACTGTCTGTAACTTCAGGTCCAGGGGATCAGACAAAAAAAAAAAAAAAAAAAAAAGGACAGGGTTTCTCTGTAGCTTTCCTGGAACTTGCTCTATAGACCAGGCTGGCCTCGAACTCACAGAGTTCTGCCTGTCTCTGCCCCCGAGTGCTGGGATTAAAGGCGTGCACCACCACTGCCTGGCAGAAAACAAGCTTCTCTTTCAGCAGAGTCCAAGAATTTAGCTATCCTTCTCACACACAATTCTCTCTCTTCCTGGAAATTTACCCAAGAAAACTTGTATGAGCTGGGGAAATAAATATTTGTAAGCAGAAAATTTCAGGTAAGTGCAGTAAGTCCTGGTTCAGCTCTGATAGAGAGAAGGCAAAAGTAACTCTAGGACTCCCTCCCCATCAGACTCAAGTATTAAGTTCCTCAGCCCAGCAAGAGACCTGGATGTCCTCAGTTCCTGGGTATGAAAATATCAATATTTTTTCTAGAAGACACTTAGATACTAAAATTATTGATCCAAATTTATAGGAGAATAAGTGAATTAGACTTTCTCTTACATTCCAGGCCTTCCTTTTTTCTCTTACATTTCAGTGAACTCATGGCTTCACTTCCTATGTTCAGAAAAAAAATGACAAACCCAAAACTATGGATCTTGGTTTTCAGAGTTAAAACTTTGACTGAAAGAACACATGATGGAGAAGAGCAAGCTTCCTGTGCCTACAACTAGCTTGGAGTACAGGAAGTAGAAAAGAGTTGAGGGGAAGCAAGGAGGTTGGATTGAGTCCAGGCTTGATTGACGGGGCGTGGTTATGGCAGAAACTTCAGTCCTGGAGAGAATCCAATTACAACGTGAACCTTGGCATCCTTTTAGATAGAGGATACCAAAGGCAGCAAGTCCAAATAGAGATGTTTTGGTGGTGTTCTTAGGTAAACAAGTCTGTGGCCTCTATACCCTATTCCCAGGGTAGTCAGGGAGGAAGTAACAAGATTCTGCTGTTCCCTAGAGTAACATGGAAATATACCAAGTGATTACAGAAAGTTCCAGAGTGTCGTGTGACCCTAGCCAGTTATCAGAGCAATAGAAAGGTCTAGATCTCTGAATACAGTACGAATGAGCTGAGACAACTGACCTAAAGAAACCAGGGTGGGTCTGCAGAGATGACTCAGTGGTTAAGAGCAGTGGCTGCTCTTCCAGAGGACCCAGGTTCAACTCCTAGCATCCACATGGTGGTTTTCAGTTTTCTGTAACTCCCAGGGATTCCAGTGGCTGTAAGGGCACAAGACATGCACTGGTATAACAATAAATATGCAGTCAAACAACCATACACATAAAATAATGGACAAAAATTTAAATTTATGGGGCTGTGGTGACCTGTGTCTTTAATCCCAGCACTCAGGAGGCAGAAGTAGGCAGATCTCAGTGAGTTTAGGGCTAGCCTGCTCCACAGAAAGATTTCCAGGACAGTTAGGGCTACACAGAGAAATCCTGTCAAGAAAAAAACAAAACAAATAAGAAAGAGAGAAAGCTGTATTCTGCTCTATACAAATGTAATCAGTAGTTCTGGAGATTAAGTACAGTGTAATTAAAAACCCTGGGTGATTCTGAAAGGCAGCCAGGTTGAGAACAAATACCCATGAAACAGACACTTAATTGTCTTTGGAAAGCACTTTGTGGGAGAAAAGGCTCATTTGGAAAAATATAGCGTTAGGGGATGATTTTCTGGCTAAACCCAGCTCCCGGAAGCACTGGAACTGACCTCTAGAGGAGATATAATCCAGATCACAAGGTATCCAGGCTGCATTCACTTCTCCCCTGTTCAACCAAAAGAAAACCATGAATGCGAGATAACAGTGAAAACCAAGCGTCCTCTTTAGCCAGGATTCAAGGAGGTCTGAGGTATGAGGGAAGTAAAGACAATGGCCGACTATGAACTTTGAGTTCAGTTCTCTTCTTGTGCAAATAAACTACTTATCCTTGGCTTTGCTATTGATTTACTTCTCGAAGGAATATATACAATGACTCTGCAGAATGAATGAGCCCTTCTGGGCTGAGAACTAAAACCAAGCAGAAGGCATTGTGTATAATAGCTTGTGGACTGTTCCTTTTCTTAATCTTCTTCTCTGGGAAACCACCACATTATTTTCTTTCTTCTTTGCATTTCAGAGTTATACATTTCTTTGGTTAATTCAAACGATTTTGCTTTGCCTCCACCTCTGCCTCTGATAGTTTTACAGCAATTTTTGCATCCAAACTTGAAAACAAGCTCTTTTATTTATGCTTATTTTGGTTTTGGTTTTTAATGTTTTTAAAAACATTATTATTTTAATGTTCTTGGAGCAGTAGCTCATCAGTTAAGCGCACTTCCTGCTCTTGAGCCTCTCAAGTGCTGAGGTTACAAATATGCATCACCATGCCCTGGGTTAAGCAAGTTTTTTTTTCTTATTAAATTTTCTTACAGACTCACCACTTCTCCCTCAAACTATTACGTTTTCAGGAAAAATGTAACGTTGTAGGGAGGCCATTTGTTGGTTCCTGGCTGCCCTCCGTTTGTTTGTTTCAGGGCTGCTCAGCCCTGAAATAATCACACAGAAACTATATTATTTAAATCACTGCTTGACCAATTACTTAATCATATGGCTAGCTAGCTCTTACATCTAGAATTAACCCATCTCCATTATTTTATATTTTACAATGAGGTTCATGGGCTACTGGCAAGGTTTCGCCATGTTTGTCTCTGGCAGCGGCTCCATGGCTTCTGACTCCACCTCCTTTCTCCCAGCAGTCAGTTTAGTTTTCTCTGACTATCTAAGTTCTGCCCTGCTATAGGTCCAAAGCAGTTTCTTTATTAATCAATGGCAATCACAGCATACAGAGGGAAATTCCACATCAATGTAAGAAAGAGAGAACTTCACTTTTGATTGAAGCATTTTTAGAGTAGCTTTTGTGAAGTAGAATAATTAGGAAGTCTGTACTCCCTTACTTATTAATATGGTTTTCTAAAACCAAGGATTGTTTTATTTGTTTACTTCTGAGACAGGGTATTTCTGTGTATCCCAGGTTAGCATTGGATTTAGCATTCTCTTGCCAGTAATCATTATAGGTATATGCCACCACACTCAGCCCAAGAAAATGTTATTATCCAAAAAGTGGACATTACTAACCCAGAATCTTCTGAAGATAATACATATTCTAACTCTATCTAGCAGTCCTCTGTGGTGCCCAACTCTAAACGCCATTTTCCATTAGAAAAGATGTCTGAGCAATGGATGATGTCAGGTGTGAGACAAGAAACCACAAGGTGAACCTGAAATATTTTTAATTATTAGTTTTCATTCAGTTTTTAAATTTTAAAATTTGTTCTTTTACGTTTATTATTTAATTCTATATTTATGAGTGTCTTGCCTGTTTCCATGCATGTGTACCACATGAAAGCCTGGGGCCCCTGGCGTTAAGAAGAGGGTGTTGGGTCCCCTGGAACTGAAGTTATAGATGATGTGAGCTACCATATGGGTGCTGGGAACCAAACTTGGTTCTCAGCAGGAGTAAGTGCTCTCAACTGCTGAGCCATCTCTCCAGACCTTCATTTTTATTTATTTTCACTTATTTCTTTTTTATTTTGTGAGTATATGGGTATGTGTGAGTGGGTGCCCACATGACAGCTCATAACCATCTGTAACTCTAGTCCCAAGATATCTGACTTACATGTAGGCAACTCACACATGAACATCAAAATAAAAATAAGCTATTTGATTACCACAACAACTTTAAAGCATGTACTCTGTTTCTATTTTATCAATAAATTTAACCAGCTTGACCAAGGGATTGGAGAGATGACTCAGCGGTTTAGAGCACTTGCTACTCTTATAGAGTTCCTAGCTCCTATAACACAGGACTCACCATACCCTGTAGCTTGAATTCCAAGGAAATCCAACATCGTTTTCTGATCTACACAGGTGCCCAAATACACAGTCACATGCACATATATAAAAATAAAATCTTCAACTTTTTTTATAGGCATGGTGGTGTACACCTCTAATCTCAGCACTTAGGAGGCAGAGGCAGGGAGATCTCTATGAGTTCAACTCCAGCCTGGTCTACAGAGTAAGTTCTAGGATAGCCAGGGATACATAGTGAGAACTTGTCTCAAACAAACAATAAAATGAATTAAACAAAATTTGTTTTAATTGTCCAAAGGCATGCAGTGGTATAGCAATATTTGAACCAAAACACTCTAACTCTGGCTTCTACTTTTTTTTTTTCTGTTTTTGTCGAGGCAGAGTTCTTTGTGTAGTCCTGGCTGTCTTGGAACTTGATCTGTAGCCCAGGCTGGCCTTCAACTCACAAAGATCGACCTGCCTCTGCCTCCAGGGTGCTGTAATTAAAGGCATATGCCACCATCGCTGGCTCTGTCTTCTACTTTTAAAAGTCTCTTTGCCTTTCTTTCTGAAGATAAAGGGCATCTGCTGAAGAATTTTAAACAAGAAGCTAATATAATTCGGCTTGTGGGAGGATGCCTCTAACTAAGTGATAGAAGATGAGGCAAAAAAAGTCAAATGTTCATTCACTTAAGGGCTATTGAGCATCTTCCATGTGCTCATCCTAGGCAGCAAGGATATAGTAATACAGATTACAGGAATGATGGGGAGTCCATGCTTGGATATGGGAAGATTGTCAATAAATATATTAACAAGAAATACCTGGACTGAAGCGATGTCTCAGTGGTTAAGGGCATATACTGCTGTTCCTGAGGACCAGAGTTCAAATTCTAACACCTACTTCAGGCAGCTCATGACTGTCTATAACTCCATCTCTAGCAGCTCCAATGCCTGAGGCCTCTGCAGGCATCTGCACTCATGTGCACATAACCACACAGAGACACACATACAAATAACTGAAAATCTTGCAAAGCAGTGGTGGTATACACCTTTAATCCTAGCACTCAGGAGGCAGAAGCAGCCAGATCTCTGAATTTGAGCCCAGTCTGATCTACAGAGCAAGTTCCAGGACAGCCAGAGCTACAAAGAGATTAAAGATTAAATCTTTTTTAAAAACTAGTATGTGGGGGCTGGAGAGATGGCTCAGTGGTTAAGAGCATTGCCTGCCCTTCCAAAGGTCCTGAGTTCAATTCCCGGCAACCACATGGTGGCTCACAACCATCTGTAAAGAGGTCTGGTGCCCTCTTCCGGCCTGCAGGAATACACACAGACAGAATATTGTATATAATAAATAAAAAAGCTAGTATATGAAATGACAATAAGTGTACTAGCTATGTCAATTTGACATAAGCTAGAGTCATCAGAGAGGAGGGGGCCTCAACTGAGGAAATGTCTCCATGAGACGGGCTGTGGACAAACCTGTAGGGCATTCTCTTATTTAGTGATTCATGGGAGAGAGCCCAGTCCACCGTGGGTGAAGAAACCTTAGGCTGGTAGTCCTGGGTTCTATAAAAACTCAGGCTGAGCAGGCTGATTAGGCTGAGCAAGCCATGGGGAGCAAGTAAATAGTGAATAGAACTCCTCCACGGCCTCTGCATCAGTTCCTGCCTCCAGGTTCCTGCTCCGCGTGAGTTCCTGCCCTCACTGACTTTGATGAGCTGTTATATGGAACTGTGAGTGAAATAAATCCTTTCCTTCCCATGGTGTTTCATTGCATCAAAAGTTACCCTAAGACAATACATTTATGATGACAAATATAGAAGAGAATATGGGGAGAGATGTTATACTTTAAAATGAGAATACCATTATGGTCTCACTTGAAAAGGTAAAATCTGAAGAAACAGATGTGAAGGGAACAAAAAAGAATAGCTTATATAAGAACAATCTAGAGTGCAAAATGCCAAGCAGAAGTGTGCATAAGGTCTGGAGAATACACCAATAAGAAAACAAACTGTTTGTTTGTTTGTTTGTTTGGTATGACTCCTTTGCCTATATGCATGTATGTGCACCATGTATGTCCTTGTTGGAGTCCCTGGGGTCACAGATGGTGGTGAGTTACCATGTGGGTGCTAGAAAGTGAAACTGGATCCTCTGCAAGATAGCTCTATGATTAATATTATTATTTATTACTATTATTATTTTTTTAAGGTTTTTGAGATATGCTTTCTCTGGGTAAAGAGCCCTGGCTGTCCTGGAACACACTTTGTAGACGATGTTGGCCTCCAAAGCACAGAGATCACATAGTTCTGCCTCCTGAGTGCTGGGGTGAAAGGAAAGCACCATCACAGGATGGGCTGCACGATAGCTCTTACCCTTCGGCTCCCCTCTACAGACTCTATACATTGGGAGAAATTGACTTTGGCTCTAGAAGAAATGGAAAGTCACTGGCGATCCCTGAGCCCAGAAATAACGCAGTCTACCATTAAACAGGCACGGCAGCTTTTATTGAGCTATAACTCACATGCCATAACGTTTACTCCCTTACGGCATACGGGCCAATCATTTCTTTTAGTCTGTTTCCACGGTCATGCAAATGCCAACACTACCTAACTCCAAGATATTTTCCTTGTACTAAAAGAAATGCTGTACTCTTTACCAGTCGCTTCTTCCCTCAGTCTCTTGTAACAGCTGATTTAGTATGTTTCTGTCTATTTGCCTATTCTAAATATTTCATATTAATGTAACTATACAATGTATTTTTTATGATGGGCTTATCACGTAGTGTACAATCTTCATGCCTATTATAGCATATTCCAGTCCTTCATTGTTTTTTAAAAAATTATAAACTTTATTATAAAAACAAGCTTTCTAAATAGAATAAACATCATACATTAAAATTAGCCAGACCCAAAGTCTAACATCTCAGCAACTTCTATACAGTTAGAGTAGCTATTCTGCAGCTGTGGAATTTCATATTGGATTCTACACTTTCTCTATAGAATATATTTTTCTGCTTTCAGCAACCACCAAAAATGAAAAAAAAAAATCCAACACAAATTAGAATCAGAAAAAAAACCTAGTTTTATATCCTCTTTCATATGTAGCCTTTCTTGTTCTCCTTTCTATGTTCTATTTACACTGTACCGTATGTACAGCGGTTTGCATCGGAGGTATATTACTGACTAGATCCTGCATATGAGGGAAAACATGGGCCTTTCCTTTCTGAGATTCTGTGACTTTCCTTACTATTATATATTTAAGTCTACCCATTTTCCTGAAAATTTTGTAATTTCGAGTTTGGAGGGAAAGGTTTCGAGACAGGATTTCTTTGTATATTCCTGGCTGTCTTGGAACTTGCTCTGTAGACCAAGCTGGCTTCGAACTCAAGAGATCCGCCTTCCCCTGCCTCCAGAGGACAATGATAAAAGGCATGCGCCACCACCGCCCAGCTCCTTTTACTTTTTCTATGTCCTCAACAAAATTTTTGCAACTTTTTGCAGATTTTTTTTTGCATTTTTCATAATGAAATGTAAAGCAGAAATTGAAAACCTGTGGGATAAATGTAAACATAGTATTGTGAACAATTTGTTTTAGCTTATACATCTGTATATACAAACACATGGTATGTGTTTGATGTAAAATATTTGTGCAGTAGGTCAGGACTTAAAAACAAGAAGTTTGAGGGTTGGAGAGAAGATGGCACAATGTCTAAGAAAGCATCTCTCTCTCTCTGTTATACCTGTTATTTTTGAGAAAGGGTCTCTCCACCTAGTCCTAGTTGTCCTGGAACTCACTATGTAGACTGGACTAGCCTCCAATTCACAGAAACCCTCCTGAGTGCTGGGATTATATGCCTGTGCCACAACTCCAGACAAAGAGTCCACTTCACTTAAATTGAGTTGTTCCCAGCTTGTAACTCCAGCATCAGGGGATCTGCGGCCCTCTTCTGACCTCCATGGGTATTGCATTTACATGCACAAACCTACAGTTAAGACACACATTTAAAATTAAAATCTTAAAAAATAGTTCGGGACCTGGCAGTGGTGGCGCACGCCTTTAGTCCCAGCATTCGGGTGGATTTCTGTGAGTTCATGGCCGGCCTGGTCTACAAAACAAGTTCCAGAAGAGCCAATAAACGGTTAGAGAATCCTCAACGCTGACATCGGTGGCTGGCCCGGGACACATCAAGAACAGAAAATGTACATACAGCGGACCAGGGGAGCGCACCCTGAGAACCAAACCAAAGATGGACGGGGGCTTCCAGAAGTCCCGACTGCAGCCAGCGAGCGACTTCCCAGGTCTCCAGCGCCCACGGCTGTGAGGAGGCGGACCCAGAAGCGGAGCACGCGCAGTAGAAGGCCCCGCCCCGCCCCCGCGCAGAGAGGCTGCGCCTTCAGCGGTCACGGCCGCCGGTCACTGCGAACTGTCCCCGCCCCCTCCGCTGCCACCCGCGACTGCGTGCGCAGAGGCTCTGAGGGCGCCTGCGGGAAGGGACGCGGCGGGTAAGCGGGGCCTGCGTCCGGTGTGTGTTTCTCACGGGTTTGGGAGCGTCTCGTGTCCGGCTCCCCGGACAGGGAAGATGCCAGTGACTGGTGCTTTGGAACGCACTTTTCCTCGGCTTTTCTCCTGCCACCTCCGGAGGCCCTCTGACTGCCCAAGTGAAGTCGCCGTCGCCGCAGCGTTCTCTGCTCTCCCCACCCCCACTGGGAAACCCAAAGCCGGCCCGGTCCCTGATTTTCTGCCGGCTTTGTGGCCTGAGTTCCTTACTTGCCTGCGCCGTCAATAGCATCGAGTTGATTTTCTGCCTTTAGTGTCGATCAGCTGAGGGAGAAAGCTAGCTACAGCCTCCAACTCAGTCACCGCAAAGAGTCATCAGTTTTGATGCTCAGCTGGAGTTCTGGCCTCCTTACTGAATCAACTTTCAGATGCTGTTGAGAGGGAAATCGAGGCCACCAAAACATAAGTCCTCTTTGGTTACCCTGATCGTGTCCTGTCCATCGTTGGCTAATAAACGACTTTTCAAGTTGGACCTGTTGAGACATAGGCCTTAGATCCCTAGGCACTATCTCAGAACTATGCCTTTCCTGTTATGTACAATCATTTCTCTGCCACATTTTGGGATGAGGCACTTCACTGGCAGTGGGATGGAATCAGCATTTACTCAGGAGGGTGGCCCCAAACATTAGGCTCTACTGCCAGAGTGATATTTAGTAAACTGTTTCTTGTAACAGGAGCTATTTTGACTTAGTGGCTGTGTTTTGATACCTTCAGTAAGAGAGAAACGTAGGAAACCTGGCATCACACCTCAGGGGTTCAAAATCTTCTACCAGGGGAAAAAAACAAAGCACAAACAAGCCTGATAGCCAAACTATGTTTAGTAACATCTACGGGTCGAATTTCTTTTTCTTTTTGGTTTTTCGAGACAGGGTTTTTCTGTAGCTTTGGAGCCTTGAATTCACAGAGCCTTGAATTCACAGAGATCCATACAGGTCGAATTTCTACGTGGAGGGAAATAGACTTGCTTGTAAGATGTTGGCATCGAGTACATGCTGAAGTGAAATTTTAGTGACTCCCTTCAAGCCTCTCAAAGTTTCTAGATAGCCATAAGTATCAGTTTTATTATTATTAAGACAAAGTCTCACCAGTCTTGGCTGGCCTGGAACTAAGATCTGCCGGCCTCTGCACCACACCCAGCCCCAGCCTGTTTTTACTGATAATTTTGACAGAGTTCTATATTCTGAACTAGTTTTTCGTTTGCTTTATTCTGTGTCATTGGTGTTTTGCCAACATGTATGTCTGCGTGAGGGTGTCAGAAGCCCTGGAACTGGAGTTACAGACAGTTGTGAGCTGCCATGTGGTTACTGGGAATTGAACCCAGGTCCTCTGGAAGAGCAGCCAGTGCTTTCAGCCTCTGAGCCATCTCTCCAGCTCCATGAACAATTTTTTTAAATGCTAGCTTACAACAGTTCTGTCAATTTTATTACTAATATTTCTTCATGCCAAAGTACAAGACCTTGATAACCTTAACAGTTCCTCTGCTATATCTGCCCATCTTATGTTGTAAGAATTCATGATTTATTCAGTAACTTAAATTTATCCCTTTGATTCTCATTGCAGTCTATAATGTTGCTTATCTGCAATTTTTGTTGGTGACATAAAAAATAATAAGAAGCCAGGCGTTGGTGGCGCACGCCTTTAATCCCAGCACTCAGGAGGCAGAAGCAGGTGGATCTCTTGTGAGTTCGAGACCAGCCTGGTCTACAAGAGCTATTTCCAGGACAGGCTCCAAAACCGCAGAGAAACTCTGTCTCGAAAAACCCAAAAAAAAAAAATATATATATATAATATAATAATAATAGAATTGTATTTTTGTTATCTCCTACTTCATGCCTACTTGAAGAACCCAAGAGTTCTGAAATGACTATTGACATGTTTATTTTGTTAAACCTATAAAGATTTAGGTTCAAGTTTCTGTACTTGGGTTCCATTCTCTACAACTTGGTCTGATCATTTCTATGCAGTATGATATGGTAGGAACAACCCTAGGCTTAGAATAAATAAACATGAGACTGCCGATATACTGATGCTGGGGAAAGTCTGATAGTTTCCTTTTCTGTGACCTCAGAGATTATCTTTTTCTTTTTCTTTTTTTTTTTTTTTTTTTTTTTTTTTTTTTGGATTTTCGAGACAGGGTTTCTCTGAAGTTTTTGGTGCCTGTCCTGGAACTAGCTCTTGTAGACCAGGCTGGCCTCGAACTCACAGAGATCCGCCTGCCTCTGCCTCCTGAGTGCTGGGATTAAAGGCGTGCGCCACCACTGCCCGGCAGATTATCTTTTTCTTTTCATCTCTTAGATATTATAATAATTACAATTGAGGATAAGGTATGGTGGCATAGACCTTTACTCCCAGCACTCAGAAGGCAGAAGCAGATGGATTGTTTTGAGTTTGAGGGAAGTCTACATAGTGAGTTCCAGTCTGGCCAAGGCTATATGGTGAGATCCTGTCTTAGAGAAACAAAACCAAAACTACAGTTGCCATAATTTGTGCAGAAGCTAACAATTGAGTCACATATCACAGCACATGTCTGCAATCCCAGCACTAGGGTGTCAGGGAAGGAGGGTCAATACAAGTTTGCGACCCTTGTCTCACAAAACAAAAACCCAAGCCTTTTGTTTTTTCTTATTTCACAAACATTTGAAATGCTAATATATGTTGGAGACTGATCCTATAGCAATAGAAGCCAGTCCCTGTCCTGAAGGGACTATCTTTCAAGAAATTGGTGTATTTGTGAATGTGTGTAAGCTGGGATTAAGATGGCAGGGATATCTAACAAGGTTGAGTGTAATATAAGCTATAACATAGGTAGGTTAGGATGATCACCAAGTCTAGAGGACAGAAACAGAAAAATGTTGTGTGGAAAAGTTATATTTGAACAGTCTTGGGTTATAACAAGGATCCCCAAAGGCTTTCTATGTTGAGGGAAGCATGCAGACTGAAAGATTTTTTTTAAATATATTTATTTATTTATTATGTATACAACGTTCTGTCTGTGTGTATGCCTACTGGCCAGAAGAAGGCACCAGACCCCATTACAGATGGTTGTGAGCCACCATGTGGTTGCTGGGAATTGAACTCAGGACCTTTGGAAGAGCAGGCAATGCTCTTAACCGCTGAGCCATCTCTCCAGCCCCAGACTGAAAGATTTTAAGCAGACATTTGCGCTGGTCACAGTTGATTTTTAGAAGTTCATCCTGCCTAGGATGTCTACTTCCTGACTGTTGTGATAAAACTTTTGCCTTTGCACCTTCCTTTCTTTACCCAAGGAGGGGTTTATGACTGTTCTTCTATTTATCTTTTAGTGCCCAATTTAGTGCTTCTTTCTTCTGTGAAGCATCCTTTGGTGTACACATTCCAGTACCAAAAAGCATCTTAGAAGTCATACCATACGGTATAGCTCTTGTTTGTTTGGTATGTGTTTTACGATCCTAATTAAATGATAGAGAATGTTTCATCTATATGGGAATAGAAAATATATTAACAAAAAGATATGTTTGATCTTTGTGTTTTATTTCTCAGGGTAGAAGCAAATAATGGGCAAGAGTCTCTTTAATTAACCTGTGGTCATCATGTCTAAGGACGAGTGTGCCAAGGCTGGCGATAGCTCATTTTCCTCTGATAAACATGCCCAGCTCATCTTGGCCCAAATCAACAAAATGAGAATTGGCCAGCGTTTCTGTGATGTACAGCTGCAGGTCGGGAAGGAAACCTTTCACGTTCACCGGCTGGTTCTGGCTGCGAGCAGTCCATACTTCGCAGCTTTGTTCGCTGGAGGAATGAAAGAGTCCTCAAGAGATGTTGTACAGATTCTAGGAGTTGAAGCTGGAATCTTTCAGTTACTTCTGGACTTCATTTACACAGGTATATCTATGTAGCACTTTTCTCTTGCTGTGATAAAATACCATGACCAAAGTAACTTGTAGATGTTTCTTTATTTGTAAATATTGTTTTTGTTTTTGGTGTTCAAGACAGGGTTTCTTTGTATAGCCCTGACTGCCCTGGAACTCATTTTGTAGACCAGTCTGTCCTCAAACTCACCCAAATCTGCCTGTTGCTACCTCCTGGGTGCTGGGATTAAAGGTGGGCACCACTGTAGTAATAAGGGCAGCGGCCCTGCGTCCCCAGCCCCCCAGCCGCCCGCCCGGCTAGCTTATGCCCCGAAATAATTACATGGACACTGTATTCTTTTAAACACCGCTTGGCCCATTCTCTTCTAGGCTAATTCTCACATATTAATTTAACCCATTTCTAATCATCTGTGTATGGCACCCCAAGGTGCGCTTACCGGGGAGATTCTAGCCTATGTCCATCCTGGGTCGGAGCTTCATCCCGGGAGCAGGGCATGGCGTCTCTCTCTGAGGCGTCTGCTCCCGAGAGAACTGTGGAGTCTCTGAGCTCACTTCCTCTTCCTCCCAGCATTTTGTTCTGTTTACTCCTCCCACCTATCCTCTAACCAATAAAATGGGCCAGGGCAGTGCCTTTATTAGCCAATGACCTTCCTCCATCACACCACCACCACCCAGCTTAAAGTGTATTAACTTTTATTTTATGTGAATGTTTTGCCTACCTGTGTGTAAGTAAACCACTTGCATGGAGTTATCTGTGTGAAGATCAGAAGAGGGCATTGGATCTCCTAGAATTGGAATTACAGAAGGTTATGAGCCACTGTGTGTTCTGGGAACTGAAGACGTGTCCTCAGGAAGTGCAGGAGCATTTAACTTTTGAGTCATCTCTCCAGC